ACGGAAAATCCATTTTTGTTCTAGGGTGCTGACGAAGCTCGGGTGGGAGGGTTGTGCCCGTTACTTGCTGTTGAGGATGTTGAATTAGTTTGGCTATTCTTTCACCCCATCTTGATTTTTTTTTTCATTTGCTTACTTTAAACATCAGAAAATTAGAGGAAGAAAACCCTCAAGAGGCGGTAGATCGACACGACGGTGAGATTTTCCTCCTTTGGTGTGATTGGCGAGTCGAACTTAATACCATTTTATTTCTTTCCCCCCTTGAAGCGGGATGAGCGCGGGTTCCTCGGCGGGCAACCCCGCCAAGCGGGATGACAGCAGCCTGACGAATACCTCCACCGTTCTTCTGTATCCGTTTAAACCGATGAGTCTTGGGTGGTGGGAGAGTTTTCTCTCCACGGTGGCGCCGCTCAATCGCGTTTCGGTGCTCGTGCATGTAATGCGTTGCATGATGACGCATGCGGTGCTGCACGAGGATCCGTTTTTAGAGGAGGCGATTATCCACATGGGGAAGGGGCTCCCCCACGCCTGGCCGCCGCCGAGCGGGCAGGAGGATAGTAACTATATCCCCGCGTTTGAGGCTGGGTATCATATTTTTCAAACCATCTGTGTTATTTCCAAGTTCCGAACGCTGGATAGGCAAGCCAAGCACGGGCTCTTATCGATGGCGGAGCAGCGGATCCAGGCGATCGCGAAGGGGACGCAGCATCAGGAGGATAAAATGAGCTTTTGGGCGGCCGCGCAGGTCGCGTCGGATCGCATTCAGGCGCTTCAGAGGGAACTCGACTCGCGCATCGCGTGGAATAAGTTAATGCACGCGATGAAAGTGCTCTTTTTTTCTGTAAACATGCGAAACGGTAAGCTTCCCAGCCTCGATCCGGAGGCGAATCCTTTGGATAACTTCGCTTGCTACGAGGGGTGCCCGTGCTATGGGAAGCTCCGCAACACCTACACCCTTTTTGTTCGTGGGATGGAAAAAATCAAAATCATCGACTGCGCGATGATCGCCTCGGTGAAAGACGAGGACGTTTTATTACGCGAGGTGGCCACGGAGCTTTTGTATCGCTATCGTGATCACATCTTGGATAACCCCCCGTCGAACGACGTGGTGCGGCAAATTCAAAATGGAACCTTTTTTTACTGCCGGGTTGCTCTTTTCCGGGCACTAAGCTACCTGCAGGATCTCTCCGAGCTCCATAGCGACTCCGTAACGGCCGCGAAGGAGTTCACCTGCTATCTTCACCGTTTTATCCTCTCGATGCATTGGGTGAAGAATGAGATCCGTCGCCTGCGCGGGGTGAAGGATCTCGTGCCGATGCTCAACCGCGCGATCACCACCGCCGATAACGCCTTTCGTTGGGTGAACGAGAGCGGATTTAAACAGGTGCTGCACACCCTCAAAGGCTACACAAACGCCTGTTTTGTTACCCTCGCCGCGTCGAAGTATCATTTCGCCGTGCACTCACGCGATATCTTCGTTGGGAGGTCGGAGGATATGCGCTGCACGAATCCGGGATGCCCACGAACGGCGAGGGATTTGCTGCGGTGCAGTGGATGCGATGTAACGTATTACTGCTCCGCGGACTGTCAAAAGGTGGATTGGGAGAAGCACAAGGGGTTTTGCCACGAAATCGAATCCCGCCGCGGGAAGCCGGAGCCAGTCGATCACGTCGTCAGCGAAATGCATTGCATTAAACCTAAAGTTTGACGAGAAAATTGTATATATAGAATATATATTGATATATATATATAGAGAGAGAGAAGCCATAACCCCTCTCAATACCATACATGCATGACCGTTTGATAATATTTTTTTCCTCATAAGAGAAAAAATCGGAAAGAGAGGGATGCACAAAAGCGCATGCCCTTTTCATCTGACTTTTATTCGCCTCCCTTCTGGCCTCTCTCTAGATTCACCTCAGGGGCCTCTTTCTTTCTTATATTGTGGAGGGTGAGGTCGATTTTTAGCTCATCCTATGGTCAGGTTTGGTATGGATTTCTCAGGTATGGTAGCGTGCTTGCCTGTGGAATTGAACCGAGGGATCCCCTGTAAGAATTCATTCAAAGCGTAGACACATTATTGAGGGGGTAGATTTAGGCATGACAAACCAAAAGCTCCGGCATTTAAAGCGATATAATTTCAACCCTCCCCAACACATTTTCACAATGCAGGTCCCTTGAAAGATTCTTAATGGATCGTGATTGGGATGTGTTATGAGAAAGGGAAAACTAAATCGAGGTATATCTGCTCATTTAATCGCTGTTAAGTTTTTTTTTTCTGCAGCCGTTCGTATTGTTGGCAAGGGGTGGGGGACCCGATAGCTTCCGTAATTGGTTCTCCCGCTCTCTCTTCCGCCTTTGCTACTGCTTTATGCGGACGTCATGCCTTATGACAACTAAGAGGGGTGAAAAAGATGGGAGAGAAAGCAAAAGTGTGTTGATTTTAATTTTCTCAACAACCTTCTGAATGCTTCACGGGATTGAGGTAATTTAAGTTATTTTTATTTTTTAATCGTGAGACGTTAGCTGAGCTTCTTTTCCCTCCTAAACGGAATTCATGGAGAGCTTTAGGCCCCGAGCGTTGCTGCATTTACGTTCCTCACATCGTTTGCAACAGGATTCAGGCAGTTTAGGAGTTTATTCACCTTCACTGAAAGTAGGTATCGTTCTTAATTTAGTTGTGCGGTGATGGGGAGGGGAAGGGATTGCAGCCTACGAGGATGCACGAATATGGCCTCTTTTTTATTCCCGATCACGCAATCCTTACAAGGGATGCTGTTGATATGCCGCGATGCAGAGAAGCTAAAAACCCAAAAAAACAGCTGGGGTGGGGTGGGGGGTGATGACGACAGTAGGAGGAGGACCCATTAAAGCCACCGCGTTTAAACTATTTCCCTTTGTTGAGGAAGAAAATGACATACTATACGAGGGCTATTGCCTTTCTTTCTACTTGGAAAGCATGACATGTATGCTTAGACGCTAAAGGATGCTGCACCCAACACCCCTTTTTCCCTCTTATTCTCCTCTTCCCTTGAATTATTAGAGCTATACGCCTCGAAAAGAGTGTGTAACGCAGTACTGCATTCCCACTTTTGACTTTCCTATAGTATTATTATTATTATAATTTTTATCTTCCAAGAGCCTTTTCGTTTTGTTTACCTTTTTTTCTTAAAAACAATTACTTATCTTATCTATCTATCTATCTATCTATCTATCTATCTATCTATCTATCTATATATATATATATATATATTCTTTTATTTTTTTCTTTTTCTTAGTGTTGGGACCTCCTCGAAGGAAACAAACCAAAACAAACCGAATGGTAATGGAACTGGAAACCCTCCGGTTCGGGGCGGGGATGACCGAGTCTTGCAAAGATGTGAATATTCATAGTAACACCCGGGAGATGCCCAGTAGTAGCGGGGGCTGTAGCAGCATCCCGGGAAAGGGAAACGCGGCCTCCTCGCGGGCGCCTCGCGAAGGGGCGGATTCCGCCCAATCCCCCCTTTCCTCCAGTCGCCCAAGCAGCCTCGTGTCGCTCGTGGGTAGTGGGGAACGCGGAGAAGAAAGGGAAAGGGAAGGGGAAGGGGAGGGGGAGGCCTCCCAGACGATTTCACTCCTCCT